GGGAGCCGGAGACAGGCAGGCGGGGGGCCCTCAGCTTCTGGGGTCCCCGAGCCCCTCCTCACGGAGCTCAGAATGTCAGGGACCCTGGGGGCTGGGTGGACAGATGAGATGTGAACAGAAAGGCAGGTGAGGACACACAGGACACGGAGGGCATGCAGAAGGATGACCGGGGTTAAGCTGGAGAACCCCAGACCCCAGACACAGCTCACAGCCACCCCAAGACCACACGGTGGGGTCCACGGCTCCTGGGGCACACCACCCCAGCATAGCATGCCCAGGGCTGTGAGATCACAGGTGTATGAGGCAGGCTCAGGACCATGTGCAGGGCTGGACACAGGCCTTCGAGGGCCGGCTGCCAGGTGGGAGGGCTGGGTGACTGCCCAGCCAGGGCCAGCGGAGGCCAGGCCGGGGCCCACCGGGGCTCCTCTGCATCTGATGGACGACACAGCTGAGGTGAGAGATGCCCCCAGGCGCCTTGGGCACAGAAAAGGGGCTGTGATAAGGCTGGCCGGGCCGGCCCTCTCCCCCAGGCTCCTGCAGGCTCGGGCCGCCTCAGGCCTGCACGGAGCCACAAGAATGCACAGGAGGTCTGGATGACCTCCATGCTGATGGCTTGGGGCCTGCAGTCTGGGGAAACCACAGAAACGTTCAGTCTCCCTGTGTCCAGAGTCCCAAACTTTGTGTTCACTTCCACTCTGGGACAAGGGGGATGCTCGGGACAGGGTCACTGCATCTCCCAAACTGACAGAGTGGCCACCATGGGGCCGGGCCGGGGGCAGCCCCGAGGGTGCTCAGCACTCATGTATACAAGTGTGCGGCTAAGAGGTGGCCCCACGTCGGGGTAAGAGGCCTGGCCTGGGTGGAGTGGGTACCAGATCCCCTCTGCGGGGCGATTGAGAAAGCCAAGAGTGGAAGTGGGGGCCAGGTGAGCCCCTGTGGGGCCCAGCTGGGCCTGGGAGCCCCGAGTGTGGGACAGAGTGCAAGTCTCTGCCACCCACCCTCCCACAACGAACCCAGGAAACGCCCCTTGCTGCCCGTTCAAGTATCAGCTGCCAGTCAGGCAGGCACAGGTTTAAGGACCTTTGAGAGAAGAAAGAGCAAAATCAATCATGAACTCGTTCCCCGATGGGAACTGGGTGTGCAGCCCCCGGAGCGACTGGGGGACCTGGGCAGAGAACTGGCCTCACCCAGGGCAATGGCGTCCTCACTGGTCAGGGTGCCCGCGACAGTTACACTTGGCTTGGACGCTAAGCCCGAGATTGTCAGGCGCCGGTCTGTGCCCAGGCTCAGCCAGGACTGCAGCCCTGCGCAGGGTCAGCCCCAGTGGACACACCCTCATGGCAGGCCCTGGCCTCTTCCTGTCCCACCTGTCCCAGCTCCACACCCGCCAACGGCCCACCCACCGGCCACCGCAGCCTGGGCGCTCAGGTACCTTTTGTGTCTTCATCTTCTATGGTGGTATGGGTGCTGTCGGACGACTCCTGGGGAGACACGGGGAGGAGGCACTTCAGGACGTGGCCTCTGCCCCCATGGGGCCTGCAGGCCCCTCTTCCTCTGCTGTGGCTCGGGGCCCCGTCCCCAGAAACCCACAAGCAGTACTGGAGCTTCATGTTGGCCCCCAGGGGTCACCTATCCCCGGGGCTGGGCCACCCACATCCGCAATGGCCGAGGGCCCCAAATGTGCTTCTCCCGACAAGACACGTCCAATGGAAAGACTCCGTGTTTAACAACAAAGAAAAACGAGCTTTTTGCAGTTCCAAGACCCCTGGAGAAGCAAAAAGGCATCCACAGCTCGTACATTTTGGCAGAACAGGAAGCTGCCAGTAGGTCCTCAGGAATCTGGCCCTAGCCCAGCACCCACACCTCCTTCCCAGGCCGGGACCGTGCAGCCAGGCCTGGCCTTACCTCTCAGGTGGCCTTAAGGGCAGAGAGGTGGCCCCAGCACCTCCTACCTCACGCTCCTGGCTTGCCGCCCTTCAGTTAAAGAACCAGGCGCCATCCACCTGTCACCAAGTTCCCAGAAGGCCTGCCTGCTCCTCAGAGGAACATCTTAGGAAGGTCCCCAAGGGGTCCCTCTGGCCCCCTCACCGGACACACTGCTCTGGGCTCTGGGCCAGAAATAGTGGTGTCTTTAGGCTGTAGAATTAAGACTCACAACACAGCCCCAGAATGCTGTCTCAAGGCCCCTCGCAGGGAGAGCGGGACCCTCACCCAGACACACGGTCCTAGGAATACCCGAGTCTCAGAGGCCCCTCCTAGCACCTCGAGTCTGGATTGGCCTCGAGGCAGTGGTCCATGGCCCCTGGTCCTGGCCCATGGCTAGGGCGAGTGGGGACCCTGGGAGGAGCTCAGGCCCACGTGAGAATCTGGCTGCAGGCCTGGGCGCGCGTAGGGTGGTGCTGGCCCTAGAAACACAGCTTGGCCGCCCACCCATTCCTCCCACCACTCAAGAGAGCCAGCCCCTTCCCTGGCCCCCGGGGTGAAGATGCCAATGCAATGGGAGCTGATGCCAGAGCAGGGGGAGGAGCAGGGGAGAGGTCAGCTCAGCGGGAAGCACTGGGCGCAGCGGGCAGAGGTGAGCAGTGGGTGGGGTCAGGAGGGTCTGAGCTGCACTCCTCCTCCCAGCCCTGCACTCGGGGGGCGCTCTGGGCAGCCCACGCTGGCCCTTCTCCCCTGGAACCCTCACCCCTGGCTAAGAGTCACAGAGCACACCCAGGCTCTTCACAGCACTTAAGCCTCTGGAGTGGGCCCTGTATTCAGCTGCTCCTGGCTACGCAGGCCTGGCCACTGCCAGGGGGAGATGGAAAGGACCCTGAGACGTGGACCCAGCTCGGGGTATCAGGAAGCCCAGTCTCCTGTATCCGCAGTGGACGCGGTACAACCGTGCCTCCAAGGGTAGCACCTGGGGCCCTTCCCCAAAGGAGCAGCCCGTGGACTTGGGGAGGCTCTGTCCTGCCTTGGGAGGGGGTCACTGCACCGCTGTTTCGGCACAGATGCTTCCCCGGGGTCAACATCCCAGACCTTCCCCAGGGCCGGGGGGTCTGCCTCCTGCCTGAGCAGAAGTTCCCGAGAGGGTGACGAGGAACGCGCAGTACCTTGATCCCGTCCACTGGGTTATGAATGACGGTGGTTTGAGGCTCCTACAGAAGAAGGAAGCACAGAGGAAGGAAAGAGGGAAGTGAGAAGAGGAGAAGAGTGGAGGCCCCCCCGCAGGAGCCTGGGAGAGGAGAGGAGAGGGTGGCGAGCAGAGCAGGATGGAGGCAGATGGCCAGCAGGGAGCGGAGCAGCGGGAGAGGGACCCGGAACAGGACCAATGTGGATGGAACACGCAGATCCGCCCGAGCCTCGCGGGCACCTGCGACGGGAGGGTGATGGAGAGAGTGGGGCCGAGGGCGGGGCTGAGAAGCGGCCCGCTGGGTGCCCCGCCTCCGGCGCGCTCCCTCCTTCCTTTGCTGCTGAACCCTTGGCCCCAGCATTGCGGGGGGGTGGGGAGACACAGGTTTGATGTCATGGGGGTGGGGGTGGCACATGGGATGGACGGGGTTCGAGACGGGGCTGGCTGTGAGGCCGGCGTGTGCGACCCTTCCCTCCTGGGCCAAGGCCGCCCCTTACTCGCCAGGTGGCCATTTGCCAAACCCAGCCTCCGTGCGGATGGCCTGGGGCCGGCTCCCAGAAGCAGGGCCTGTGGCCATGGGGACACCAAGTGTGCTTTCAGCAAATTCAGAACCTGGAGACCAGCAAACCCCAACCTCTTGGGCTGGCCTGCTCTTCAAGAGACACCATAGGCACACAGCACCCAGGGCAGGAGGGCTGGCACCCACTGGCCAAACCCTGTGTCCCCAGCTGTGGGTTCCCCTGGACACCTCCACGTGAGGGCCAGAGCTGGCAGGTCCCTCTGAACTCGTGTCTGCCCACCCCTCCCCAGCAGACCCCTGAGCCCTCTGGGCCAGCACAAGGCCAGCACAGTCATAGAAATGTATCTCCCCCACCCGCCTCAGGGCCTGTAGGACACGAACTTGGATGGGAAACACCACAGCTGCTGGGCCATCACCAGGGAAACCGCCAAGGGATCTCTGTCTCCCTCCAGATCACTGGGTGGGCGCTGAAGCTAAGACCAGGCCCACTCATTCTTCCTGGGGAGAAACCAAAGCCCCCACCTCCCAGATGGCAGAACCCCGCAGCGCCCCAGGGAGGGGTCGGGAGCGTGAGCCCCCACTGCCCAGTCTGCACTCCCCCGGGCCACTCCCTGTGCAGAGCTAGCCCGGCCGGAGCTCTGGGTCAGCCTTTGCGAGCAGAGGAGCTGAGTGAGGCTGGTGCCCTGGGTCCCGTGTCTCAGCCTCTCTGGCTAACTGAAGGCCTCTCACCGCTGAGCACAAGTCAGCCCGGGCCTGCCCACAGCACCCGAGAGGGGTTCCCAGCCCAGCCATGGGCCCGCCTGAACTGGGGTGCCCCTCACCCCCACAACCTGGGGGCAGTGGGCTCCAGGGGCCAAGTGTCATCTGTCAGAGACCTTTATCCCAGGCCTCCTGACAGGTGGGGTACGGGAGGCCCGGGACGTGGGGTGCCGAGGGGTTCAGTACCAGGGCGGCTGGAGGGAGCGTCCCCTTGGGGCTGGTGGCAGCTGCACTGTTTTTGGTGCTATTCGTCTGGGGCTGCAGAGAGAGGAAGAGAAGCCATTAAGGATACAATAAGGGGCCACACCCCTTTCTTGGGAGGGGCGGGGGCCCAGGAGGAGATTTGGGGATGGGACAAAGCTGCAGGCCCGGGGTGGGGGGACAGGGCGCCCAGACCCCCCGGGCCAAGCCAGAGCCTCACCTTGACTCCGTCTGCTTTCTTGTTGAGTAAACTCTTGGCTGCTGCATAGGAGGAAACAGGCATGATGAGTGAGGGGCCCAGGTCCCAGTGTAAGCCACCCCCTTGGCGTGAAGCAGCCTCGGGAGCCTGCCGGGAGCCTGCCAGGAGCCTGGCCTCTCCAAGGTCAAGTGAGTGGACAGCCCAAGGTCCCGAGGCAGGGGTGGCTTCTGTACCCAGCTGGGGACAGAGTGGGTCTGCGCCCAGTGCTGAGCAGAGCCATTCCGGGGAAGGCCTGGCCAGGGCTGCCTGAGGACCCTAGCCCCAGGACAGAGTCTTCCCCCAGCCATCCTCCATGACCTTGGAGGACGCCAAGATTTCTCCTCCCACCTGGGACCGGCAGCCTCTGGGCAACATGCAGGCTCTGCTAAAAGGGTGGCAGGGCACTGCCCCCTACCCGAGATGGGCGCACAGGACAGGGCACCAGGTTGCGGTGGGAGGCACCCCTCAGTAATTTTCCATGTTCTCAGGCAGAGGTGGGTGGGCTGCAGCTGGCCACCCACACAGGGTTGGGCTTGTCCCAACCCCAAGTGCCTGCCTGCTCCCAGCTTCCTGGCCCCCCTCCCTCAGCAGACAGGACTCAGAGCTCTGCCCCCATGGCCAGGCCCCAGGCGTGACTGTCAGCTCAGAGCACCCAAGGGGCAGCTTGACTCGCCCTCATGGACCGCCCCAGCAGCCCTGGCCTTGCTCTGACAGCGCTGACTGGGGCCAGCAGGGGCCTCTGTGCCCACCCACCAAGGATCTTGATCTCAGAGTGGGGGCAACAGGATGACACACCTGGGGGAGGGTCCAAAGGGTTCCCCGCCTCCCAGGTTCCCACCACCCCTCAGACTCCCAGGCCCAGCAGATGGCCCATCTCACCCCAGCCATACCCCCCAGGGAGGTCAGGGCTTTGCCCGCCTTCCCGATCAGAGGCCCTGACCTGCCACACCCCCACAGGCCCTTAGCATCTGCGCCTTCAGCAGTGGTTAGTTTTAATTACAGAACTACAAAAAAAAAAGGAAATCAGCTTACCTTACAGAAAAGGAAAGGTGAGGAGGGGGGAGGAGAGGGAGTGAGGAAGGAAGGAAGAGAGAGAGAAAACAAGATTTGTGGAGGTTCAGGCTGAGTGCAAGTCTGCAGCCTGGGACTCACAGCGGCTCCTGCCTCGCCCGCCCTGCCCACAGTCACGCCAAGCGATGCCCCGGGACGGCCGGTGCAGTTAGGGAAGCAGCCGGGGTCGGACGCCGGACGGCGGGGCCCCTCGCCCCGGAAGGAAGGTGGCCTGGCCCCACGGCCAGCTCCCAGAGCTCTGGCCGGCCAGCCCTGAAGTGGGGGCTGCCTGCTCAGAGGGACGAGGTGGCCCACAGCAGGCCCGCGCAGGGATACTCTCTACCAGGAACATCCCTGGAGGCCACTGACTCGAGCTGGCACACACATCCAGAGAGATGCAACGGTTCTCAAAGTGGGGTCCCCCGCCAGAAACATCAGCAGTGCCGGGGCCCCCCCAGACTTACTGAGGCCGAGAAGGGGGTGGGCTGAGCTTCTGTTCAACTGTCCATCTGTTTTGGGGGATCCTGACGCTGCCTCAGCTTGAGAACCACTGGTCGAGGTCACCAGTGCAGTGACCAGGCCTTTCCCTGTCCAGGTGGCCATCGCGCCACCCTAGGGGCTCTGCATGGGAACACCGGTGGCTGCTCCCCGCCAGACGGCCCTGTGGTGCCATTGGAAAGCTGCCACACTGGGTGGTTTCAGTTCCCAGCCTTTCTCCCCAACAGACCCATCAATTCTCTCAAAAGTTTCCCTCCCAAGATCCATCGGGCAAAGTTTAACAAGAAGCCTGCTCCTGACCCAACCCTCTTGCCCAGTGAGCCTCACCCCGTGAGAAGCATCGCAGGGTCCCAGCCAGTGAGGGGACCACAGGCCATCCCTTTCTTTGCCCCCCATGCTGGCCTGCTCTACATTTCATCCTCCCAAGGGCCTGGTGAGGCCGGACTCAGGACCACGCCCTCACGCCCTCACGCCCTGGCAGCCCTGCCCCGCAGGCATCCCAGGACCAGAAATGCTGCCTTCTCGAGGCCACGTCCTACTTCCCACTGAGGGGACTATGAAAACCTCCCCTGGTGGCAGCTACATCTGCCTCCCTATAACTCACCATGGAGGGACAGGCCAGCCCTGCAGACACGAGAACTCGGGGGCCTCCAGGGCCAGCAGCCTCACTCCTGACCATCATGCCTCTGGCCTCCCTGCTGACTTTGCCTCTCTGCTCTCTCCCCATCTCCGGTGCACAGGGGAGCGCCACCACCTCTGCAGTGGGAGTTTTGCTGAGGTCACAGAGCCCAGGGGCCCTGTCTGTGCTGGCCAACCAGCCAGCTGGACGCCACTGGGAAAAGGGCTTCTCCCAGGGGCCTGGAGGAAAGTGGCGTCCAGCTCTTCTTGAAGGCACTCATGAGAGCTGAGCAGGCAAGCAAGCTAAGCCCCAGCCCCCAATTTAAGGTGGGCAGTTTGGGGAAAGTCATCCCCCAGTGCCACACAGCCTTGGCCAGTGGCATTCTCGGCTGGCTCTGAGTTACAACCAGCACAGACCAGTGCTGGTCTAAGAAGTTTGGCCGGGGCCAGCCCAACGCCCCGGTGGAGACAAGTCGGCTCTGCCTGGTCTTCCCCTTGGGCAGGAAAGGAGGCCCCTAGGTCAGACCCTGGGTGGAGATGGATGGAACCCTGGGACAGTTCTGGGTGTCAAGGGGTCCCCTTTGGTCCCTGATTTTATCAACACCCCATTCCAGACCCTGCCACTTGAGACAGCATGAGTTTTGCTCCCTAACAATCCACCCTTCTGGGGACTCAGATGGCCACCACCATGGCCCAGGCTCTGCAAATCCCTGCAGCAGGCACCTATCCTTTCCATCGATTTCCAAACACTCCTCCTTAGGAATCCCCTATAATCGACACCTGCGTGTCTGGGTGCAGTGTGGCCACACAGCTGGGCCCCTCCTGAGCATTCCCGTCTCTGTCTGGGACTAACTCCAGAGCCCTGTTGACCGTCATCTATACAAGCGGTCAGAGGCATAGAGGGTTTCCTCTGTGGTTCCTCAAATCTAATGCATGATTACACAGCAGGAGCCAAGGTGGGCCAGGCAGGCGCCCTGGACCCCTGGGAGACAAGCGGAGACCTTCTGCCCCACCTGCCCCGGGTCCTCAGGGTCAGGCCATCACTGCCACAGTGAAGCCCAAGTGGGACCGTCCAGGACGCTCTGATGAACTGTAAGAGATCTACAAAGACACCAGGTCTGCTGGCAGAGGGCAACGCATCACCCCAGAGGCCGTCACCCTCAGAGACGCGATGGCCTTGGAACTGAGACCGCCCCGCCCCGCCCCGCCCCGCCGAGTCTGCTGGTTCCAATGCACTGGCGGAGGTGGGTTGACCTAGTGGTGAGGGGGTGGCCTCAGCCCACAGGGCCCAGCCGTTACCTCGTCCCCTAGCTCGTCACTCGAGGACAGCCATGCTGGGCTCCGTCCACATGCACGGGCCACCCCCCAGACAGAGCGGCCCTCGGCGCCCAGGGCGGAGCCCCACATGCACACGGCCTCATGCACCGACGCTCCACATCCACTCACAGGCAGCGGGCATTGCAGGCGGGAGCCCGGGCAGAGAGCGGCTCAGAGGCGCCTGCCTCCATCGCGCAGGAGCCCCGAGTCTCACGTTCCCTGACCCTCTGCCTCGCCCTCCCCTGGGGTGCTCCAGAAAGGCCCAGAAAATGAAGCTGACTCAGGATGACCCCTGGGGGTCGGCCTGCTGGACCTGTCCACTGGGGTCACAAAAGGACCGCAGACGCTCCTGTCCCAGGACAGCCCTGCCCTGAGCACCCCAGGAGGCAGCGGCCGGGGATGCTGGGGTCCTCCGGTCGGGCAGGTGGGACTGTGTGCCCTGTGGGGTCATGGGGCAAGAGCTGGGCTGGACGTGTAGGGGGAAAGGCCTTGGGCCTGGGAGGGGCTGGGGCATCTGCCATCTCAAGCTGACACTTGAAGGGTTTTCTTTCAGGCTCCACAGCTCCATTTAGGGAGCGCCTGGGTCAGCCCTCAGCTCCAGCTGGCTCTGCCTGGCCTAAACTTGCACCATCTTTGGCTCGGCTGAGCCCTGGGCCCACTGGGAGGTCTCAAGTCCACTAGTCTCATGGGGTCTGGCCAAGGTCAAAGCCAAATAGCCGGGAGCTGGCCTGGGCCTCCTGGGAGGTCTGCCCCTCACAGACTGAGGCAGCAGGTTGGCAGAATTAGCCTCTGCCCTCCCAGGCTGAGGACGAGGTGACGGGAGCCTCGCAGAAAGAACCAAGAGGAAGCCTTCGAAGTCATTCTCTGGGCGACTGAGGGCCCCTGTCCTGGGGCTCATGGGGCAGACATGCGCGTTTGGGACTCAGCACAGACCACCGGCTCCGTGCGCGCGGCCAGGAGCTCAGTGCAGGTCCCTGGGGCATGTGCGGGCCAGGTCACGGGTGGACCGGGTGGCACGTGGGCTCTCCCGGGGCAGGTCTCTGCCCATGCCCTTCTCCCCGGGGCCCCCATTCGAGATCCAAACCCCCAGCAGCAGCCCCGAGGCTTCCTGTGGGTGGTGTCAAGGTCATTCTGAACAGGAGGTCGTGATGGCCAAGTGGGGAGTGAGCCTCAGAGAGCAAAGGGCTTGACCAGAGGGGTCTCCGGACCCCCAGACTGGGGAATGCAGCCCAATGCATGTAGGGTGACTCATGGCTCAGGAGTCACCTAGCCTGGCCTCTCCTTCAGTAGGTGGAGGAGGCCGCCGGGACAGTGGGGGCTGCCTCCCTGCCCACGGGATGGGCTCTGTGGGGCGTGTCCACGGCGGGAGCAGGGGCTCCCGGGGCCTCTGGGGTGGCCCTCAAGGCCCAGCTGGCGGCTGCGGGCAGCGAGGGGAGCTGCATGCCGACAGGCGGGACACTGGTCAAGAACATCTACCTTGTTCCACCAGCCCCATGGTGGTGCCGGAGGCCGCGGTGGACATTGTGGCCGGAGCGGTGGTCTGTCTGCCCACTGTTAGCACCGGGTTAGAGACGAGGGGAGGGGCGGACACAGACGAGGGGTGGGCGAGGTGAGGGAAGAGAAGAGACAAAGGAAGCAGAAGAAGATTAGAGTCAAAGTTTAGGTGACGGATGGTTTCAGAACCCCTGTCACAGGAGCGTGAAAACAAGATGGAGACCGATTGACACTGGAAAAGCATTTGCCTCCTTTCTCCTTAGAAAACCCCAGGGGGGCCTTCCGGGTGCCCGGCCGGGCGTGCGGACAGGACACGTCCCATTAGTCTTGGTGTGACAGCATGCCCCCTGCTCCCGGCAGCACAGCATCACAGCAAAAGGAACAGGATGGGCGGGTGCTGATGCAAGCGGACACGGAGGACGCACCACAGACGCTCCCGCACCCGGCCTCACCGGCGACAGACAAGCCACAGGAGAGCGAGGGGGCGGCGGCCCTACTCGGGCGACACTGTCCCCGCTGGGCCTGCCGGGGCCTGTGGCCCTGGGGTCGCCGACAGACCCCCGGAGTGGCCGCACGCCCCCAGCCATGGCCACCCTCGGTGCCCCAGCAAGGGGCTGCCAGCCAGAGTGTCCGGAGCCTCCTGTCACCTCCCCTCCCAACACACACACAGAACGGGTGCTCAGAGGAGTCAGGACAACGAGGCCACAGAGGTGCCGACCAACGCCGGGACAGACACACGGAGCTGCAGCCCGGGCGGCGGCGGCTCAGACACAGACCCAACACGCAAGGCTGGAGCCCAGGCTCCTCTGCGGCCCGCGGGGCTCAGAGGACAGAAGGCCGGGCTGGGCCAGCAGCGGGGGGCAAAGGGCCACGGGGGTGGCAACAGGGCAGGCAGCTGGCCCATCCTAGGCCTCCCCGCCGCAGGCCCGTTCCTCCTGGAGAAGACCGTTCTCACCTGAGAAATTCCGCGTGGCCAGCATGGTGGTGAGGATCGCGCCCTGCGGGGAGACACACAGCTGAGGCCAGGCCGGGACCCCAGCCGGGACCCCCTCCCGGACCTCGGGTCACGGCCTCACAGAGAGGCAAGAGTTTGGCACACTCACCAGCTGCCCCCAGACAAGCCCCCACATCCAGAATCAAAACAGTGATGCTCCCCGGGCCCTGAACTGCCCACCAAGCCCAACTTTTAAAACGTGTGAAGACCCCCAGGGGCCCCCAGCGCACCGCAGCCCCTCTGGGGGTCTGCCTCTCCCCGCAGCCCCTCTGTTTCCTGACAGGCACCCCACACCAGGACTGCGCCCGGGCCAGGCCCGGACACGCGCCCTCAGCAAGGAGCAGCCTGGCCCCAGACGGCCTCCTCGTTCAGGGCCCCCTCCCTCCTAAGCAGCAGTTTGGCTGCCCCCCACCGACCCAACCTGCCCTGAGTGAGAAGCTTCTCAACTTGCTCACACTCAAGGTAGCACGACCAGCCACCCACAGGGAGTCCCCATGTGGAGCCCCAGGGACACCAGGTGGGGGCATGGGTGGCTGGCGGGGTGGAGCCAGGCCCACGTCTGGGCGCCTTTGGTGTCATTTCTACAGGGGGACTGAGTCCACCCGATGCGTCTGGGCTGGGACAGTGCTGATAAGCAGCCTGTCCTGGGTGGCTCCCCTCCCCAGTGCGGGGCCCTCGGGGGGACGGGCTTCTCTGGGTGGGTGAGCATGTGTGCGCGGACGGCACCTGGGGCCACACACGAGGGTCAGCCTCTCACCTTGAGCTTCCTCCGGGCGTTGAACTTCTTCAGACACTCCACGGTCTCCTGCCTGTGCATCATGGACGCCACAGTGGAGCGTTGCTGTGGGGAGGGGGGCAGGGAACAGGGGTGTCATGCACTACAAGGCGCCCCAAGGGGTTCTGTTTCCAAGGGGAGCTTGAGAAATGGGGGTCAGGGAGAAGCCCAGGACAGCAACATCCCTGGGCCCTCATGCCAAGAGCTACCAGCCCCTATTGCAGCCAGAGGCCACCTGTCCCCGCTGCCTGCCTGTCCCCCAGTCCATCATCCCTTATGGCCCGTCCATCCCCCACCTGTCCCCACTCCCGCCTGTCCCTCCTGCCCATCTGTGCTCCCCCTCAGGCCGTGCCCCCTGCCCACCCTCTCCCCAGCTTGCCGCTCCAACCCCTCACACACTGGACTGTCCTCCTCTTTCCGCGGAGCTCCTGTCCTCCCAGGGACAGAGGCCTTTAAACCCCTCAGCATGTCTCAGGTCAAAGGCCACACAGCCCCCAGGAGACCAGGGGATCCATCGGATGCCAGGAGAAGGCCCCACGGTCAACTCGCCAGGGGTCGGTCCAAGACTGAGGCGACTTACGCAGACCCACGGGTGTTTCAGCGCCTCGTGCGCTGTGATGCGCTTGGCAGGGTTGATGGTGAGCATCTGGTTGATGAGGTTTTTGGCTTCAGGAGTGACCGTGTCCCACTCGGGGGATGGGAACTAGAAAGGAAAACAGTGCACAAGGGAGCCTGAAGCCCCCTCCCCACGCAGGAGACAGTTCTCCCAGGGCCTCATCTGCAAACAGGGGGCATCGCCCCACTCCCTGCCTCCCCCGATGAGGAGGGGTCAGGACGGGTCCCAGCACTCACGTCGTAGGCTCCAGCCTTGATCTGCTGGTACAGCTTGTGCTGGTCCTCGTCCCAGAAGGGCGGGTAGCCCACGAGCAGGATGTACAGGATCACCCCTGGGGAGAGCCGAGAGCACAGGGCCTCACCTGCCACTCCACTGCCTGCCTGCACCCAGCAGCCCAGCCCCGCCCAGCCACACGCCAGGCGGCCACGACCCCCGGGGGGCCAGATGCCCAGCTCTGGCTCTTCACCGCTATGGGACCCTCAGCCAGTTTCTCGGCCTCGGCTAGGGTGGGGGCCCCCGGCCCAAAGCCAGCAAACCCCAGGAAGGCACTGGGGTCCTCAAGACCCCTCAATGCCCCCTGCAGCCAGCATTAGTGAGTGTCACTGTTTGGAGACCCTTGTGTTGGCAGAACAGCCTAAACAGCGCCCTCACCTCTGCCCCACTGTCACCCTACTTCACAGGGGAGGGGCCTCCACGGCCGGACAGGCTCTGCAAGAGATCCCCACCAAGGAGGCAGCGAGCCAGGGCGGTCTGCGCCACCCCCCTCCCCTCCAGCACCCATCTGCCTCCCATGCACCTGCCGCTGCTCCCAGCCCAGACCTCTCTGCCGAGCGCAGGGCGGGCTCCCCAGCAACAGCCGGGCTCACACTAGCAGCTCTAGCCTGGGCGGGAAAGGCGCTCCTGGCTGGGGCAGCCCTGAGAGCCAGCCCAGGGCGGGCCTGGCACAGTGCAAGTGGTGTGGGTGCAGCTCCCTCGCGGCGGCCCCGCCCCACCCCGCACACCAGCCTCACCGCACGCCCAGATGTCCACCGGCTTGCCATACGCCTCCTTGCGAAGGACCTCTGGGGACAGGTAGCCTGGCGTGCCAGCAAACCCTAACAAGAGGGGGAGGGGTGGTGTGAGAGGCCACAGCGACAGCTGCCACCCCCACCCTGCCCCCTGGCCGGCCAGCTCGGTACTCACCGAACCATGCCTGCTGGTCCCCCTGCACCTCGATGGCCAGGCCGAAGTCCGCCAGCTTCACTGCGGCCCCTTTGCACTTGCTGGCCAGAAGCAGGTTCTCCGGCTGCAGGAAAGTTGACCAGCCCAAGGGCGTGTGGTTTACACCCGGCGGGGTGTCGCGGGAGGGAGGGGGACAAAACAGCCGTTTGCAGGCAGGGGCACACAGGCCTGACCTTCCACCACGTGGGTGTCCCCCTGGGACGGCTGACATCCTTGGCTTGGGTGCACCCCAGAGCCCCAGGCCCTGCACCCCGCAGCCTGTCCCTGCCCCCCTCCCTGGGGGCAGGGACAGGAGCCCTAGAGCAGAGGGAAGTTGTTCTCAAAGTGCCAGCTCAGATGCCTCACACCCAGGAGCAGTGAGCCTGGGGCACTGGGACCAAAACTGAGCACCTCCCACAGGCCCAGGCAGGCTGTGCAGGGGGGCCAGGACCCCCGCCGGCAAAGGCGCTTCTCTCCTCTCTCCAAGGCTGGCTGCTCAGAGACGCGGTCGGGGGCTGCCTGGTGTGGGGCTCAGGCACTTCCTGTGGGACGGCGACCCTCAACGTCAAGGAGGAACGACCAAGGGCCCCCGCAGCCTGGGCACTGCAGGACATTCACCCACCAAACCCCACCGACTCCGGGGCAGAAGGGACCAGCCTTGACCACTGCCTACCCAGCACCACGGGTAGGAAGGGTCTGGTGTGCAGCTTCCCACCTCGAGGAGCAGCACCCTTGCTTAAGCCGGAAGGACATTCACCCCTGTCCCTCTGGAGTGCCGAGGAGGATGCCATCCCTGACTGGGGGCTCTTGGCCCCAAAGGCCTGAGGGCCCCTCGATGTACACTGTGTCCTGTACCCTGGGCCCCTCCCAGCCCGGCCTGTCCCACCCACCCCACCACCTCCCAGTGGTCAGCGCCCAAAGCTCTGGACTTCCTCATCCTGGACTCCCAGGGGGCTCTCCAGGCCCTCGGGCCACCCCCTACCCCCGACCAGGCCAACCTCACAACAAGACGGCCCATTGAGACCACACTGTCACTTTAGTGCCACCAAGAAAGACAAATGCCACCATCTAAACTGAGTTAATGCTGCTTGTACACTGAGGCGTCAGAACACAAGGAATGGAATGAACGAAATTCGCCAGCCTCACGTGGCCGGCAGAAGCCAGAGCTCCCCCACAGCTGGCCAGACAAGGCTCGGTCCCCCAGGTGACCCATGCTGGGGACGCTCAGCCCTGTCTGCCCAGCATGGCCTGGAGGCCTCTGAACATCTTGATTTTGCCAACCTGAGTGGGGCTAGGGGACCCCCAAGTTCCCTGCTCACCCCACATCAAGAAGCCTGAAATAGCAGGGGTCAGGACTGCAGCTGGGAGCTTGACCTGACTTCTAAGGATCAGAAACACCCCACCCCCACCCCCCACTAGGAAACAAACCAGCACTCCTCTCTGGAAAGACGGAGCTAAGTGAACTTGGTCCTTGGGAAGAGCTGGGCAAGAAGGTTGGGGCCCCCAGGAGGAGAGGGAGGGGACCCAGGTGGCCGCACGGTGATGCCCCAGCCCCCAGGCTCCACCCTGACTCCCTGGCGGCCCCCCGAGATGGCACCGACTCTCCCCAACTCTCTCCACCCTCCACACCTTGGCTGAGAGGAAACCCACCGCAGCACCTCTTCTGGGGGGCTGTCTCAGCCAAGGCTGATGGGGGGGCTCTCTAGGGCAGGAGGGACAGTCTGCGCACCCCACAGCTGGCAGCAGGCAGGAAGCCAGCTCAACTTGTCCCCTTTTTCTTTTTTTCAGCAAGGATTCTGCATGCCCCTGGGTCACACCTCGGCCTGGGGCGGGGGCAGCCCTCTCCATTTTTGTATTTTGGCCTCAAAATTAGCTATGCATTGTGGGGTCCAGGAACCAAGAGGACGTGTGCCCACTCCCCTGTGGTCCCCGAGTGAGGCCACTTCAGAAGAGACACAGTGACAGAGGGGAACCCACAGGACAGGCAGACAAGGCGGGCCTGGGCAGGCACATGAAAGGACACGGGACCACACAGCACATGCAGAGAGGGAGCGGGGACACACAGAGGGCACAGGAGAGGGTCCTGGGCCTGCTCCTGGCGGGACATCATCCCAAGAGCAGCCCCACAAAGATCAGCTCACACACACACACACCCCTTGGGGGCCCAAGGAAGGGCGTGGCCCCATTCAGCCCAAGCACCCATGGGAAGCTTGGTCTCAAATGCCACCAGCAGGTCTCTCAGCAGGAATGACTGGCCCAGGGGTCCACCCTTAACAAGAGAAGAGACTGACCCAAGCCCAGACTGGGAGAAAGCAGAAGTCAAGAAAGGAGGAGAGACTGAGGAAGGAAGGAGGGAGGGAGCGATGGAGAGAGGGAGGGGGAGAAGGTGAGGGGATGAGAGGGGAGGGGGAGGAGGGAGGAGGGAGGGGAGGAGGGAGGAGGAGGAGGGAGGGGAGAAGTGGGAGTGGAGACGGGAGGGAGGAACGGGAGGAGGAGGGGAGGACGGGGGAGGA